TATTATTATGCGTTTAATTTTGACGTTCTTAAAAGTCCAGTTAACTTCTCTGTTTATCAAGCTGTTCATGTTTTAAATCGAAACCGTGTGTTTTACGGAACCAAACCAGACTCCGTTTAAACATCTGAACATTTCTTTCCCAGATTTGAGAAATTTATTCAGATAGAATAAAAGTTACGTTTCTTTAACAAATGGATGGCATTATTAGAGTTTTTCGGTGTGTGGTTCTTTACATTCAGTTGTTTTTCCTCAGATTAAAACCATTTTCCTTTAACAGTAATGATGATATTACAAAGAAAAAAACATCCGTTTTATAAAAACGTGAATAATCTGCGGATTTATTTAAAAAACACATTTCGACACTAAGATTTACTCAATTAATACCTGAATAATAGGCTTGTTTTCAAACTATTTAGTTTAAAAATCAGATTAAATGAGGGATAATTATCAGAAATACTAAAATGTAAAGATAAAAACTTTTTTCTCCAAAATGTTCACTTTATACATTTTCTACAATTGTCAAGTTTCTTTATTGTCATTCTCATCACATGTGGTACATGTGGTGGAATTAAATTGTATACAGTGGGTCCCAGTTACATCCAACAAAGTATAAGTTGTGTTAAAAAACAGGAATAAGATCTAAGATATGATGCTAAACTAAAAATACACTAAACACTAGTAGTACAAAAACAATACGCCGAACAACAGCAGCACGAACATGAGTCTGTGTGAGCAGGTGAGGACAAATAAATCAGCAGCATGGATAATCAGCAGCATGGATAATCAGCAGCACATATCAACAATCAAGTGGCATTACAGTGAATTTTTTCCCCACAGTGATAATCTTGATTCATGTAACAGCTTCAGGGTAGAAGCTGTTCCTCAGTCTAGTGCAGGAGGGTCAAACTCATTTCCACCGAGGGCCACATCAGCGTAATGGTTGCCCTCAAAGGGCCAGATGTAACTGTAAGATAGTATAAATGTAGCTAAATTTAACTAAAATTAATGTAAAATAAATGCAACTACAGGCAGCACGGTGGCGCAACTGGTAGAGCTGCTGCCTCTCAGCGAGCAGGTCACTGGTTCAAACCCCGGTCCAGGGGCCTTTCTGGGTGGAGTTTGCATGTTCTCTCCGTGCATGCGTGGGTTTTCTCCGGGTGCTCCGGTTTCCTCCCACAGACCAAAAACATGCATGTTAGACTGATTGGTAACTCTAAATTGTCCCTAGGTGTGAGTGAGAGAGTGAATGGTTGTTTGTCTCATTTGTCTCTAAGTGGCCCTGTGATGGCCTTGCGACCCGTCCAGGGTGTCCCCCTGCCCCTCGCACAGTGATTGCTGGACATGGGCACCAGCGACCCCCGTGACCCTAAATGGAATAAGCGGGTAAAGAAAATGGATGGATGGATGGAAATGCAACTACTCCTTAATGTTAAATAAATTTGATTTTTTCCTTATTCAACTTGCAAATATTACATACTGTATACATATATTTGCATAGATGTAGAAAAATATGTCTGCTGTTATAACATAAAACCTTTTGTCAGGTTATGAAACCCACATTTCTCCATAAATCAATGATCAAACTTTCCATGTGAATAAGGAAAAATAACAAGTTATGACATGAACTTTGTTCAAAACTTTTGTCCTAGTTAAGAGGAGCAGAATAACGATCCAACCAACAACTGTGAGCTGCTAAGATGTGACAGGTGTAGCATTTTACAAAAAACAAATGGCTGAACACAGCCATGGGTCATACATCCAACTATCCATCCATCCATTTTCTTTACCTGTTTATTCCATTTTGGGTCACGGGGGTCGCTGGTGCCCATGTCCAGCAATCACTGTGCGAGGGGCGGGGGACACCCTGGACGGGTCGCAAGGCCATCACAGGGACACATAGAGACAAACGAGACAAACAACCATTCACTCTCTCACTCACACCTAGGGACAATTTAGAGTTAACAATCAGCCTAACATGCATGTTTTTGGTCTGTGGGAGGAAACCGGAGTATCCGGAGAAAACCCACGCATGCACGGAGAGAACATGCAAACTCCACCCAGAAAGGCCTACATCCAACTAATGAGATATTATTATTATAGAAAATAAACCTGCAATTCCAAATACATTGCTGCAATTTTAACATAATATAATAAAAGACATTTAATAAGTATAATAAACCTGAATAACATTAGGGTTGAAGGCTCACTTTGACATACTTCGCTCCATGTTCGGTGTCAAAATGCCGACGTTGTTCTCTTTGACGGCCACCACTGCCTCATAACACAAAAGACATACTGGTTTTTCTCCTTGAAGCACAAACACATCTTCACCTTCTCATCTTTCTTGAAACAGCTTCCATCTGCATCCATTTTTATCTTCCTGGACATTTTGGGATCGTTTGTATTTCTCACTTGCACTTGTGATATTGATGTGGAAAAACTTCAATCTAGTGGTGGGACGCTGTTACTTTGCGGGTAACATAATCGGCATGCATTATGGGAAATGTAGTTTGTTGTCAGTGCATCGTTATATTTATTATACGACAATCAGACGTTTTTAAGCTCTCGCAGGCCACATAAAATGACATGGCGGGCCACATCTGGCCTCCGGCCCTTGAGTTTGACACGTGATCTAGTGGTTCTACACTTAATGCTCCTTAACCTCCTTCCTGAGGGGAGCAGGGCAAAAAGTGTGTGTGCTGGGTGAGTGTGGTCCTTCATGGTGTAGGTGGCCCTCTTCCTGCATCTGGAGGTGTAGATGTCTGATGGTGGGGAGTAGGGCCGGGCGATATATCAATTTTTTAAATGGTAAATGGACTGCACTTATATAGCGCAGTGTTCCCCTACCATTATACAAGCGGGGTGCCTCACCCCGTCAACAGAACTGAGCACCCCGTCTACCAACCGAACTCCCCACTCCCACACACACCCGGCACAGACATAGCACTAAGCTAGCGGTGCAAAAATACAGACTCTCTAGCTAAAAAGCTAAAGGCAGCGCTCACCTTGCCTCTTCTCTCAAACTGAACGCCCCCACTCAAAAACTGTTGGTACAAGCTGCTCTCAGACATGTCTCCGTCCTCCCCATCAACAAAAATCATGGAAGAGATGAGCACCCTGCCATGACAAGTTAACTAGGGGAAACACTGTAGCACTTTTCTATCTTATCCAGACACTCAAAGCTCTTTACACAACAATCTGTGTCTCATTTACCCATTCATACAGCTCTATACTAGATCTCTACAAATCTAACTGAACAAATCATTCTAAAGAGACTAATCAGAGCTTTATCACATTCATACACTGATGGGACACACATCGGAGGCAATGGGGGGTTCAGTGTCTTGCCCAGGGACACTTCAGCATGTGACTGCTGGTGGATTCAAACCCCCAACTCTTGCGTTGGAGGACGACTGCTCTAACCACTCAGCCACAGCCGCCCCTTTATCAATATAATTTAATTCACGGTATAAAATGAGACTATATCGATATAAAACAATATAGTCTTATACTCTTCAGTATTATTATTAGTGTATTGTATTTTTTTCATTAATTTTACTCCTGTTGTTGTTGTTGTTGTTGTTGTTGTTGTTGTTGTTGTTGTTGTTGTTAAGCACTTTGATAACAGGTTCTGTTTTAAATGTGCTCTATAAATTAACTTGACTCTGTGATCTGCCAGTTTGTCCTCCCAGTCTGCACCATCTTTCCACCCCCTCCTCTTTCCCTCACTGTGTATAAACCCGCCCCTCCTCCGCCGCTTGCTGCACCTGAAGACTATTTGAATTACAAAGCTGAGCTTAAGATATGCTCATATTTTTGTTGACTCGGTGTGAGAGAACTGTATATTGTCTGGTCTGGAGACAGTGGCATTGACAAAAAGACAGGAGACAGAACTGGAAGCGGCAGAAATGAAGATGTTGAGGTTCTCCTTAGGAGAGACAAGGATGGAGAAGATTAGGAATGAGATCATCAGAGGTTGAACAACTGGGAGATAAAGTCAGAGAGGACACACTTGAGATGGTTTGGACATGTCCAGAGGAGGGACAGTGGGTATATTGGTAGAAGGATGTTAGAAATGCAGCTGCAGGAAAAGACAAAGAGGAGATATATGGATGTAGTTAGAGAGGACATGGAGGTAGATGGAGTGAGGACAGAGTGAGATGGAGGAGGATGACTCGCTGTGGAGACCCTGAAGAGGGAAAATCCAAAAAAAGAAGAAGTAGAAGTGTAAGAGAGCTGTAAATTTCTCATAGGTGTTAAAATGAGTAGGTAGCTGCTACAAAGTAGAGGTTTGGTGTTCTCCAGTAAATGAACTGGTTAAGAGTGGCAAGGTATGTAGTTATCTTCTCATTAAAAATCATGGAGACAGATATCCAGTTTAGGGTGATTTATCTGCTGTTTCTTCTGGTATTTATACACAGCAGTTTAAAGCACAAGCAAGGCTCAGTCTGTGTGTCCTCCCACAGACACACAGCTGCACTTTGTTTACACCGTGTGGTGGAAAAGCCACGATGCATTCAAGAGCTTAGGAACTATGACGGTTACAGCCGTTTGTTAATAAAGGTGCCTGTGTGACAACTGGGACAAAGCTTTGACTCAGAAATATATTTTGTTATTGCTTTATGGAAAGAAAAATATATCGAGATGTATATCATATATCACCATTTACCTTAAAATATCGAGATATTAATTTTGGTCCATATCGTCCCAGCCCTAGTGGGGAGACTGACTCCAACAGACTTCTGTGCAGCCTTCACCACTCTCTGCAAAGCTTTCCTTTCTGCAGCTGTGCAGCCTCCATCCGTCCGTTTTTGTCTTCAATTTTCGACATGTGTTAAATTGTTCAGAGTTGATGGCCTGTATGAACTCATTTCTCTACGGAAAAATCAGCTGGACCTTTGCTGGTGGTTCTGGGTTGTGTTCAGAATCAGGTTCTAGTCGAAACGTCTGCTCATGTCAGGAACTGACCTCACTTCCTGTTTGCCTGCAGCTCAGACGTCATGGATCCCACAGAGAACAGGTACGCTCACCTGCTGCAGCCCATCAGAGAGCTCACAAAGAACTGGGAGATCGATGTGGCATCGGAGCTGAACGACTACCTGGAGGAGGTGGCTTCTTTGTTTCTCATGGTCCTGCTATAAAATACCGTTCACCTGCTTCACCCTCTGCTGCGCTTGGGTCAAAATAACCCAAAGCTTAGAGAGTAAAACAAGAAGGACCAGAATGATTCCTGTGTCTGTTCTGCAGCTGGATGAGATGTGTATAACCTTCGATGAAGGAAAAACCAGACTGAACTTTGCAGAGGCGGCGCTGCTCATCCAGGGTTTCACCAGCATCTACAGCAAGAAGGTGAGTGATGTCAGCAGGTGTCGGGGTCCTGACAGGTAGTGTTCAGGTCATGTGACGTGCATCTCTGGTGTGTTCAGGTGGAGCTGCTGCACAGCCTTGTGTACCAGACCTTGGACTACATCAGCAACAAAAACAAGAAGTGAGTTTAATGTTCAGGTTTTTGTCCAGTCACAGCAGGAGGGCCCTGGTCATGTGATCTTTGTGTTTGTAGGCAGAGCAAAGAGGCGGCAGCTGCAGCACAGGCAGGAGTTGCAGGAGGGACACTGAGCAGCCATGACTCTGACAACGTGACGGTGGTGAGAACAGAAGGATGCAGAGAGTTTGGCTTATTTCCAAATAACTGACGTGCTTTGCTGCGTTGGTTTCTGTACATGCACAGTGCATTATGGGTAATGTAGGCAGTGTTTGTCTGTTTCAGTTCACTCCTCTGGACCTGGAGGCCTCAGAAAACTCTCAGATGTCTAATTCCAACCCGGTAGTTATTTCCTGTCAGACAATCTCAGAACAGTTAACCATGGAGTCTAACTGTGATCTGGTTTGTTTCAGGTGGTTAGTGTGGTTCCTCTTCCTCCAGAGTCTCTAATTCCACCAGATGCCCAGGAGAAGCGCAAGCTGCCTTTTATTAGGTGAGTGTCACCATTACCCTGCGGATGGTTTTACACCATCCCTAACTCCCCTGGGGTTTCTTCAGTAATCTGGTAAAATGTCCACAACGTGGTTCCAAACAACAGAATGACCTAAATAGTTATTGTAAGAAAACTTAAAATAAATCTTAACCAGAGTTCATGTACCGCATTGTCCGCCCTATAAGTTGCTTCAGTCCAAATATGTCTAATAAAGTGGAAAAATCCATAAATGCGTCTCATCTATCATGTGTCACCACTGACAACCTGGAAATGTGGGACGGTGTTGTGCCAAAAAATGGATTGGCTGCCAAATGGTGGCCGCGGGAGCGTGCATGGGAGGACTTTGACAAGAATTAACAAGATTAACACTTAAAAACAATTATTTGTTTGCTCGAAATTATAGCAAAGTTGTGTCTCTGTCTAACTTTTACTTAATAAATGCACTTTGATGGTCAAATCAGCTGCATTTTCAAAAGCCGATACGTGGAAGTAGGAAGGCGCAGAGGGACGAATCGCTGCGCATTTCTTCGAGATTTAACAAGATAAGCACCTAAAACAATTATTTGTTTGCTCAACGTTGTAATAAAGGTGTCTCAGTTGAACTTTTACTTAATAAATGCACTTCAATGGTTAAATCAGCTGCATTTCGCCGGGGTGGTGCAGCGAAATGAAGCTGATTTGACGGCGAAGGTGGCAGTCTAAGGCAAGCCAATTGTGTCATTAATAACCACTTTTACATGATACAACGGCATGCCCTACTACTCTGCTGTCATCGAGCGGCTGAAAAATGGTAGTGTTCAGTATTTTCAGTCACAATGAATGAAAACGGACAGATCTCAGCCAAAAAAATGTTTTATAAATATGGAAAACAATCCATTAATATGTCGCTTTGCCCTACAAGTTGCAGGACATGTAAGTTATGCAAAAAAACTGCAACTTATACAGGGAAAAATACAGTAGGCTTGTTTAGATACTCAAGTTCTGAAGAATCTGTTTTCTTAATAAGTAAGTAAAGTTTATTTATAGAGCGCTAATCAGACATAAAATCAAAAAGCGCTGAACAAAACAAATCAATGCTAAATTATACAAAAAATAAAACAAGCATAAGAAGCACAATAAAATCATGACATAAAGTGTTTTCATTTTCAAAAACCTCCGCAGAGTCAGCAGAACGAAGCTGCAGGGGCCACTGACTGAAAGACCCTGTCCCCGTTAGTTTTCTGCTGCGTGCGTGGAACATCCAAGAGGTTCAGTGTCTGGGAACAAGCAGCAGAGTATTTGGTTGAAGCTGACAAACATACCCAGGAGCCTGGACACTTAGAGCTCTGTACGTACAAGAACTCTCCACTGGGAACCAGTGTAGTGAGTATAGAGCCCGGGTGATGCGACAGTATTTATTCTTTCATGGACTTGCTGAGGAGTCCGGCAGCTGCGTTCTGGGTAGACGTGAGACAGAAGACTTGTCCAGGCGCAGTGACACAAAAGCGTGAATAATTTTCTCTAGGTCAACTCTGGAGACCATAGGTCGTATTTGAGACACGTTTCTTGAATGAAAGAAACAAGAACGGGAAATGTCCTGAAAAATCAAGTCTCTTTCTATTTGCCGCTCTCCCATAAGCTCAGACTGGTGAAGAACCAGGGCAACAGTTCCTCTCCATCTCACCTGCTGAAGCTCCTTCAGTGGTCTCAGGTGTCGTGGTGTTCTCTCTCATGGTTCTCCTTCATGTTTGTGAGGACAGCCTGCTCGGGGTAGATTTACACATGTCCCATATTCCTTCCATGGTGGAACAGAACTGGGATGTTTCTGACCTTTGAAGTCTTTTTGTCTCATGTGGACTTTATCAAACATTTTCTCTGAGTTGAATTAGACCAGGCACTTTGAAGGAGGTGAATTTTTATTTAATCACTCCTTTTATTTTGTAAATATTTAATTGGTATTAATCTGTAGAAACTAGGTTTTGCTTTGATGTTTTTTATTTTTTGTAAATAAGACCTTGACTGATTTATGACAATAACAAAACAAGCAAGGAGGTGAATAGTTTTCGACAATGCAGATGCACATCTGGTGATTACTTTCTGAAAGTTTTATGAAGATCTGTTCAGTGGTTCGTTAGATGTTTTGCTAACAGACAGACATGAACACATGCGTTATTGGTAGCAGGTGACACAGTTCTGGGTGAGTCCTTCTGTTTTGACCCAGTGGTTAGAAACTGGGTGTAAATGTGGACCATGCGAGCCAGAATGAGTTGAGCCTGCAGAGCACATGTAAATAATGATTCCACTAATGGAGAAATAATCTTTATTGACTGTTGAGATTGACCAATTTTCTCGGCCGTAGTGCTGGGAAATCCCTTTGTATAATATCTGGTGTCATTATGAAGCCTAGGTATTTCCCTTTTAAATATAAATAAATATAAACTTTATTGATGAGACTACCTGGATAAATAAAGGCTAAATGAAAAAAATAAACTTTATTGTCATTCAAAATTGTACAGTGCACCATGCAAACTGAACAAAATTTTGTTCATATAAAGGGCAGAAGTTCCCAAAGAGATCACTCCAGATCAATAATAATAATCAAGTTCTAATACTGATAAACAAAACTAACCTGCTGCCAGCTGGTCAGTCAACAGATTTCAATTAACTGAATCGGTTTAAATCATTTGAGATAAAAGAGTTTCATTAAAATGAATCAAAACCAAATAATGAAGAGCGGCTCATTGTGACCCGTTCTGCTGCGTGGGTCACACATTGTCGGAGTTTTCCAAGTTTTCAGGTGACGCTGCAGCAGAATCAAAAACGAACTGAACTGTTAAAACACAAAACTGGTTCTGTTGAGCAGAAAACACAACGCAGATGCAGATGTTTGACCACTGGTGGTCTCCGGCATCTTCTTCTACGCTGTGGTGTACTGGGGCAGCTGGGTGAAGAAAACTGATGCCAACAGACTGGATAAACTCATGAGGAGAGCTGGTTCAGTTCTGGGAGTGGACCTGCAGTCTCTGACAGGTGTCTGAGCAGAGGATGCTGAGGAACCTGCTCCAGATCCTGAACAACTCGTCACACCTCCTGCAGGACACACTGGACCAGTGTTGCCAGATCTCGCGATAGAAACAGCAACCAGCTCTATGAAAACAAACCCAAAACAAGCCCAACTGGCAACCCACCACATTCTTTAAACAGTATAACATACATTATGGCATTACACATAAAAAACAGCAAAATTATGTTAAACACTTTGAATAATAAGCACTGATAAAAAAAATACATTTTGCATATGTAACAAATATGTAAATCATATTTTTTAAAAACAAAACGTCCTGACATCTTTGTGTGAGTGGAGCCCCCTAGTGGTCAGCCACAGTATGAGTGTTTGAGGTGTGGGTCTGTCGCCTCACCAGTTGGGCAGAGCAATAAACAGGAAACGGGGGCGTGGAAGAGACAAATTACCTACTACCACTTGTCTTTTGCTTTATTGTGCGGAGCTGGGAGATAATCAACTAGTTTTACTCAGAAAGAACTTCAAACCCAAATTAGCAACTTCACGTTCAAAGTAGGGCTGGGCGATATGGCCTAAAATCAATATCACAATATATTGAGCAGTTCACCTCGATAACGATAAATGGACGATTACTGCACCCCCGAAAATAATGTGATAGGCCGGCATAAATAATTCACAGGCAGTTATACTGATGGCATAATTCCCTTTTTATTGCCACTTTAATGAACTTTAAAACTACACCTTCTGCAAATAAATGAATAAAATGTGTACTTTTAGTTGTTAATAGTTTTTGAACAAATAAGCACAACTGAACAAATTTAGAAATATAAAATAACTTTCCTGTAAACACAAAGTATTAAAAATACAATCTCATAAATGAAATGGTCACATTTGAGTTGTCAAGTATTCCCTTGTAAATAAAACTAAATAATGAAAAATAAATTTCACATTTGCCATTTGGAAAAGTAAACAATGAGTTGTGCAAATATAATGTCATGTGCAAAGGCCCGCCTCTCTGTAAAGGCATAGTTTACACTTGGCTTTTTTATTTTTTGTTCAATATCGTCTTTGCTGAAAGAAAAAGGTTGCCAGACGACTGATGACGCTTTTTTTTTGTGGAAATTAGCTGCTCCTCTTCCTCCTGGACCAGCTCTGCTGCCACTTCAACATTCGAAATGTTCTCCATTTTCTCAACCACACGGTCTCTTTCACTTCTTGTTACAGACTGGATGGGGTGGAGTCACGTGACTACAGACTGGATGGGGTGGAGTCACGTGACTACAGACTGGATGGGGTGGAGTCACGTGACTACAGACTGCAGTAGCTCAGTGTCTTAAAGGGACATGAGCATAGCTTATCTATACACAGCCAAAGACAAAACGACTTTTCATTTTTTAAAACACCGAAAATACAGACATGGGCAAAATGATGTCGATCATTGTTATAAATTTTGGTGTCGGTTAATTTTCAGTTTATTGGGTTAGGGTTTGGGCTATGCCGTAGTTCAAAGCAAGCCAAAAAAACTGCAACCTGCAATTCACAAGATTTGCAAGCGACTTTAGAAAAAAACAAGCCCAAAGTTGCTTAATAAGACTTGGCAACACTGCACCGGACTCTTACCGCAGCACCTTCAGTCATAGACTGAGACCACCGAGGTGCTCCACAGAACGCCCCAGGAAGTCCTTCCTCCCTAAACTTTTCAACTCCTCCCCCCTTTCTGCACATAGCACAATAAAATTAATCCTGCACTACAATTAACACTTTAATGTTTCTGTATGCACCTGACCTGTTTAGAACTTAATTGTTGGTATTTTTATAGTCTCTGTTATTATTTTTCAAATTCTCTGTTATTTTATATCTTGTGTGACTCTTTATGTATGTTTCTTAGTATTGAAACTCTGGCACAACAATTTCCTGCAGGATCTATAAAGTTCTATCTTATCTCCTGTTAGTAGGGGTGTATTGAACTGTTTCAGTACAGCATGTTCGGTTCGGTCCATGTGCATACCGTTTTGGTTATTTTTTTCACTCGTTAAATTTTATTAACGAGAGATCATGCGCCACAGAACTAAAATTCCTAAGCGTGTTTCAGCACGCGTAGCATTAGCAGCCTAGCAGGAGACCCTTTCATCTCGTTGCGGTCTCCTGTTTGGAAACATTGTGGCTTGTTAAAACTCAACAATGGGAAAAGACAAGTGAACAAATCCAAAGCTGTGAGTCGACGTTTCACGGAGATTGGATCTGCAGCAGACAACACGTCTAACTTGTTAACGCACTGGAAACAACATCATCCAAACGTGAACGTAGCGTGATGCAAAGAGCGATAACGGCAGCATTTAAACAACCTTTATCAGGTCATTCAGATCGGTCCAGAGCAATAACACAAGCTGTAGGAGTTTTTAAAGCTCTGGATCTACGTCCGAATTCTGTTGTTGATGCACCGGCTTTAAGCATATGATTAAGGTTCTTGAGCCCCGCTGCCTACGACGGCCCATCACGTCAACACTTCAGCCAAAAAGTTGTACTTTATGAAAAAGCTAAAACTGATCGTCAACAAGCCTGAACCCAGATTTATAGCCCTGCCACATCGATGATGAGCGAGAGATTCAACCACCTGATGACAGTGCAAGAAGAGGTATTGTTATTGTATTATTGTGATCTAATTAACTTTTTCATTTAAAATTATCTTATTAACTCGATTTTTTTTTTTACCTCTTTGTGTTTGCAGTCTGAGGATGTCGCTGAGCAGCTGAGTCTTCTTCCTCTTCAGGAAAATTATTTTATTTATTTTTATACAAACGCATTCTTTACTTGGCATATTTTCAAAATAAACGTTTTTATTACTCTTTATTTTGGCCTTTTTTGTACCGAAAATTAACCGAACTAAGCCCTCCTTGAAACTGAACCGAACCGAAATGTGATTTCAGCGTACCGTTACACCCCTACGAATATCCTGTAAATTAAACATCTCAGTCCATCTTGTTGGATCCTGAGCTGACCCTGTGCTGATCTCTGTGTGAGTCAGTGTGAAAGGTGAGGTGGTGTGCAGCCAGAAAGATTTCCGGGCCAACCTGTTCATCCCTGGTGAGGAGAACCTGATCCTGCTCACGCTCAGATTGGCGGCAGCATCCAGCTTTTTGTTGGAGCACCAACCTGCAGGTTTGTCTTGTGGCTCTACTTTTGCTGATGTTTGTCCTATTAGCTGCTGCTGTCGCTGTGTCTGAATATGGAGAACCTCCTTATGGAACCTCCTGCTGTTTTGCACTACGGCTATAAAACAATGCAGCTGTAGATCTGAACTGAATCAGGTTTCTGTTCCTAATGCCACAGTTGGACCAGATGTTGCTGAGGACACTGCAGAGATCTTCGTTCCTGTGGACGACCACATGGAGCTGGATCTGATCCCTGAGGAGCACATCGAGCGGAACCAAGTCTGTTCTTTTTTTATATTCATCCATGTGTAACGCTGAGCTTTCTGTCCAAACATGTTTCTGTTTCGGGCTGAAACCAGTTTGTTATTCGAGCTGAAACCAGTTTGGGATTCAAGTTAAAATCAGTTTGTGATTCTGGCTAAAACCAGTTTGTGATTCAGGCTGAAACCAGTTTGTGATTCGGCTGAAACCAGTTTGTGATTCGGCTGAAACCAGTTTATGATTCAGGCTGAAACCAGTTTATGATTCAGGCTGAAACCAGTTTGTGATTCGGGCTGAAACCAGTTTGTGATTTAGGCTGAAACCAGTTTGTGTTTTGGCT